CAGCTGGGAGTGATGTTGTGGCCGTTCAAAATGTGCGTGTAATTCAAAACAATTTAAATATAGCTTGTGTGGTCAACTGCTGTGGCCATCTTCCCACGGGAGACCTTTACCTGCACTTGATGTGGCGGATATTTTTTTTAGTGCCCATGTAGTTGCTGGTAGTCACATGAGTTACTGAGATACTTGATAACACACTCAGCTGTTCTTTTCCTAACCTGGTGGGGTTTTGGAGCTGTAAATAAAAACACAGTCTCTAACAAATGGGTGACTTTTCCAGTAAGTACACATGTTTTGCTGGTATTTTGAGGAAAGTGTAACTGATACGCACTTAACGCTTTAAGACCAATGCGATGAGCAACGTGTTGTTTTTACGATTGTGTCTGGGCAGTTCGGAAGTGATCGTGCAACTGTTCTCAGCATTTTTCAGAGCGCAGGACAAAGTAGGTGTGAGAGAGAAGGATTTGTGTTTTTCTGCTACTTCTGTAATGCTGAGGTAAAACACAGCTGGAAAGCTTTTTAGCAGCGCTTAAAGAATTACTGCAGCAAAATAGCACCTTACACAAATTCAATAAAATTCAGGAGCGTAGAGGAAATCTGCATTTTGGAAGTGACTGAATATCATAAGGGTACGGATGCATATGGAAAATGTTGCATATATGTGTATGTGTGAAAAATGGGTAATAACTACTCAGAGCAGCAGACTTGTAAGGTGGCATAGGTTTTAAGGGATAGAACAGTTTCAGAATTCCAGTTAGAAGCAAGAGAATTTCTGTAATCTTCTGACAAGAAGATCAGTAAACGAAGTCTCAGTGGCACTGTAAAAATTAACTTTCTTTTTCTGTTTTGCCAGTGGCGGCACCTGACTTGCTGGATCCCAAATCGGCCACTCAGAACTCCAAACCGAGATTATCATTTTCCACCAAGCCTACTGTGCTCTCTTCACGGGAGGAAAGTGATTCGGCTATTAATGTTATGAAATGGAAGACAGTCTCCACAATTTTTCTGGTGGTAGTTGTCTATTTAATAATTGGAGCAACAGTATTTAAAGCCCTGGAACAGCCTCATGAGACCTCCCAGAAAGCCACCATTGTGATTCAGAAGCAGACATTTGTGTCTCAGCATTCCTGTGTGAATACAACAGAACTTGATGAACTGATTCAGGTAACCCATACCAAACCCTTGTCACCGTGCCTTAGAGGAACAAATTGTATATGACAGTGCTGCTGTGATAAAGGGGGAAAACTTTATTAGCAAGGCTCTGTATTGGCTGAGCAATGTAACAAGTGTTAAGACCAGAAGTTGAGCAATAGCATTTTCATGCAAAGCCTCGTGGTTGAAAAGCTCTTGCTATTTTTAGGTCCAGTATGCTTGGTAGATGGCCTTTTCACTGAAGCCTCCCATTATGCTAATTAAATGATTATTCATCAACAATATATACAATTAATAGCTCACAAAGAAATTGATATATTGATTGTGCCTTGCTAGGTCTGTCAATACTCGAAATGCCTAATTCCAAGGAGGAAAATACACCATCCATTGCCTTAAAGGACTTCTAATTTACTGTGATTCTATCAAGCTAGCTTTCCTTCCAGCTGTATGTTTCTTTTTATTGATTTTGTTTTAAGTAAAGTACCACAAACTTGCTATATTTGATCTTAAATCTCAATTTTCTCTGCTTCTTAAAGGCACATCGATAAATGATGTACATTGCTGCCTTCCTACTAACACGACTTTCCTCTTGCAGATCACCTGCCTCAGAACTATAGGAAATACTTATTTGTGCTAGTACAGAACTAGTTCTGGAGCCTTATGAGGCCCTTTCCAACTTAAATCCCATATTACCGTACTATTAAGAATATCCATTGGCACCACAGGGAACAGCAAGGGGTTGCTAAGTAATGTCAGTTCCAGGGATGAGATTGTGAACCAGGAGGCTGGGGTGAACAGCCAAGAGTTGGCAACCATTGACCCCTTCGTTGACAGTAGCCATGGGGCCATCTGCGTCTGCAGAGCCTGAGATGGGACACCGGAGAGCAGCAGAGTGTGGTAGGCATCCAGACCCTGACTAGAACAAACTGTGGAGCGTGATGGTTGCTTGGGCAGCAAAGCTTTCTGGAGGTGTTTTTTGACAGCAGATCAGGCTAGGAATTCAGAAGTTGATTTTACCTCTCTAGACCAATCTGCCTTGAGCATCAGCGTGGATGCTTTTTTGCAGTTTCAAATACAACTCTGAGGTACCGAGTCATTTTTATGGCACACTACTTCAGAGTTTTAAAGGCAAACTTGGAAACTGTTTTCTATTTTGTGATTTCGACCCTGCCTTGTCACTAAAATATGTTCCAAAACTGCCGCCCTTTTAATGACTGTCAGGCAGTTCTTGTCTCCATGTGTCCTGACTAGGCATGCCTAAGGAGGTGCTGTTGATGCGAATTTTGATGCTGTGTAATAACTGTGTTTCAGTGGTTTTACTAGCAGAATGTGAGATAATATTTCAGAGAAGTATACATGTACTTTTTGATTGAAACAATCTCTTGCAGATGGTGTAAAAATCCCCACATGGAATTTTTAGGTCAGATCCAATATTTATGAAGATAAAAATAGAAATTTCGAAGCAATATTATCTTATATCATCTGTGAGATGGTCCTTAAGGCAAAAACTGTTGAAATTTGCTCTGGAGTACTATGGTATTTTAGCATTTATGATTCCTTACCCAAAAGCACAAACTGGTAATAGAAAACCACTTCATCAGCATTCAGTGCCCATTAGATGTTTCATGTAAAATAAATGACAATTTTGGTACAGTTATCAGAGCACAGATACCTCTATTGGCATTAGCTCCCATCTTCAGTAGTGATTTTGGCATGACTTGGAGGACACAGGCTTGTGGAGCACAGAGGGGTGACACAGCCTCCCACAGCACGTGGATGAGACATGGTTGTGGGATGAGTTTACTTGTTGTTGGGGAAAATCAGAAAACTCCTTGTTGTCTTCTACTTCTCTACGAAGAAGAATGCCACAATGTGGAGGTAGGAACGTGCTGTTATGCTCCTTTTATAGGAGGAGAGCCAGGGAAGCCTGGCCCTACAAGGGCATTTGGGTGCCTTTCTTTATGCAGAATATGTGGTAACAGATTGATCATGAGGTTGCTTAAGGGTCAGATATTAGGTGACTTGGCCAAAGTAAAATAGGAAATCAGTGATAAAGCAGCCTCTCAAACCCATTTTTCCAAGGCTAGGCTGCTACCCTAACCATGGGGTCATATTTCTTTCCTACTTACCACATTGTCACAGAAGCTAAATTACTGGAATACATTTTGACTCTCTGGGTTTATGTCTGACTGCTATTACAATATAATGCAGTGTTTCTTCAGTTTTTGTTGGATGTCTGTATGAGTAAAAATAAATAGTGCATGTGAGGAAAAAGTAAATGATATTTAAGAATTCCCTGAAAGCTATAAAACTGAAAATTAATATGTACTAGTGTCGTAGGAAGCTGGGATGATTAGTGTGTGTGAAAGAAAATTACAGAGCTTACAGACTGTAATGTCTTCTTTAATCAAGTATTTACCTTGAGTCAAACTATAATGAAATTCATTATAAACTTTTCCTTTTGAACTTAGTGTTCTGGGAATCCAGAAACTGGTTTGGCTGTGGTTCATACTAGTGGTTGCTCAAGGTGCTTATCGTGCCAGGCTTTTTCAGTCTTTAACCCTTACTCTGAAGTAGGCTTGACTATCCCAAGACTGCTAACTGACAGTATGGCATGTGGTGGCTTAGTCAGGTGAGCAAATTTGGGAGAGTGGTTTGAGTGCACAAATTCAGCTAAAAAAATCGTACAAGTGTACATTCGCTGGCACCCAGGGACCAAGTGCTTTCCATCATCTTTGCTAAAATCTTCCTTTTGTTGCAGAGGTGAATACAACACAGAGCTATGTGCTTCTATAAATGCTTACAGGATAGGGAATTTTCCCATCCTGTCTTCTCCATTTCTATTTTATCTTACAAAGCACTAAAAACCATCCTGGTCCAAAAATGTATACTGTTGCCAACTTTTCCACACACACAGCTTTATTCCCTGGGTTTCAAATTCCTAAAACTATGTATTTTCACACTGACTGTGTGGCTCCTCTAGGTGTACTCAATGAGAGTGATATTTTATAGACCTAATATATTTTATATAACACGTGAAACATGGGGCAATGGAGAGCTGCTATGCAGTACAGAAAATGTGCAAAGTCAATGAAATAGAGTGCTCCAGTGATGACAACCAAGTGGTCTCAGCTGCCTCAGAAAAATGATCTGGGTTATCTTCGTAACTTTTCAGCCCAATCCAGCAGCATTGTTTGTTTCTTGACAAAGAGGTGGTCTCCATGACCACCTCCATCTCTGACTTCCATGGTCTAGTGTTGCAAATCTCTTTCAATCTAAACCACCTCAGTTACTTGTTGCCTCACTATAGGCTTTATTGCACATGTGCAATGAACAACAGCATTGTATGATGCTGAGACCTGCCTCCAGGTACATTATTTTTTTTTTTTTTGGATATTTCATGAGCACTTCTATTTAGTATCACACTTAAAAGGTGCAAAAGTCACGCAGAGCATATTTGTGCACCCAGGAGATCCCTTTTTCCAGGCCATATCAACTCCTTTTGCTGTAGCCTGAAGCCAGTGTTAACAATATTAAGTGGATCATCGCATGCAGTACACAACGGTGCTGAGGTGGGCAGTGCACAGTGGTCAGTGGTGATATATCTAAATCTACAACTAGAGAAATATCCCAGGAGGGAAGTTTGTGAATGTACAAACACTACCTTGGGGAGTCTAATGAGGTTATAACAGACCAGCAAGCTGTGCATGATCCAATGTTAAACTTTAAGGGTTTTTTAAAGCGTCAGTTGGAAGGTCTTGAGAGGATCTCGAATATTAAGAGATGAGAAAGAATTGGTTTGGTGAAGGTTAAACATAATGTCTAATACATTATAAAGCTGTAGAAAGGAATGTGGCCACTTTACTACTAATCTTTCTTTTGGAAGAGCTCTTGGCAACTCATCATGGATGGTGTTTTGGTTTCTCTGCCTGCTCTCAATGTGGTTTTGCTGTGCAATATAAACTAATGACCAGGTGACAGAATAAAAGAGCAAATGTAGTTCAGAATATGTGGATTTTATGCATATGTGACAAAGTTTCTAAACCTGATCTTCATTTACACTAGGGATTTTTGGCATGTTGCATATAGCAGGTTTTTCCCCACCAGTGAGCTTTTTTGTTGGCAGAAGCTGATAGAAACCTGGGAGTAATTCAGCTATACACATGCAAATAACAATAAACATTAAGGAATTAAAAAATTCTCTAATTAGTGAACTTGTATCTAATTATTTCAAATCTAGTTCTAGCTGTCTTTTAGTGTGTTGATTGTTCCCTATAGCAAGGGAACTATTTGCCACTAAACATTTGGGAATTTTGGAGGCAGTTTCCAAACTCAGATGCACAAAGAGTATTGCCAAGTATTTGGGAAAATCTCCTGCTGGATTTATGCACCTGAGCATAGTAGCAAATGTAAAGAGACCGTAGGTTACGTTGCTGCTGTTCAGATTGCGCGCGTGTTCTCCTGCAACGCTGAAATACACGCATGTACCTTAAGGACATCACCTGGGGTAAAGGGTTTGTTTTTCAGAACAGGTGAGCCTGACTGAATATGATCATAGAATCATAGAATCGTAGAATCATAGAATGTGTTGGGCTGGAAGGGACCTTTAAAGGCCATCTAGTCCAACCCCCGTGCACTGAGCAGGGACATCTTTAACTAGATCGGGTTGCTCAGAGCCCCATACCAGCCTGATCTTGGATGTCTCCAGGGATGGAGCCTCCACCATCTCTCTGGGCAACCTGTGTGAGTGTTTCACCACCTTTATAATAAAGAACTTCTTCCTAATGTCTAGCCCTCTGCCCTGCTCTAGTTTGAATCTATTGCCCCTCGTCCTGTCACTACATGCCCCTGTAAACAGCACCTCCCCAGCTTTCCCGAAGGCCCCCTTCAGGTACTGGGAGGTCGCAATAAGGTTTCCCCGGAGCCTTCCCTTCTCCAGGCTGAACAGCCCCAACTCTCTCAGCCTGATATCCAACAAGCTGTCATTACAGTTGTTTCATCCACTTGATTCC